TTAATAATTCAATTAAGAAAGTGGAACATATAAAGGCAATAACATTCATTATATCTAAACGAAAAATGCCTCTTTTTTGTACTAATACTTTGTCTGATATACAGTTTCGTATAAAAATCTGGAAATAATATTACTTTTACATTACAATTGTTTGTTCAAAATGTTTATAATGATGAATTTTGTTTTCATCGACAAATCTTGAAAATTTAAAGAGTACAAATATGATATACTCTATCATCAGGAGATTATTTTGAGATGAATTCATAGCTGTTTATATATTCATTACTATATCGATAAATATGACAATATGAGTGAATACACATCATTCATAGTTTGTTATGTACAAGTTGATACATTCTGGACGAAAACAAGATACATCCTGAGAAGCACTATATTCCAATGAAAATAAAATTTAGTAACGATGAAAATCACTTGAAATGAAAGGAATTCATCAATCTTAAATGTGTAGAAATTTCAATTTCTGCACAACTAACATTTCTTTAAAGAAAAGTCGAAAAACTATACGTGAAAAAATGTCTCAAATACATATATATTGAAGATAATGAAGACGTCCAATAAAAAATATATTGTTCAGTAGAGAGACAAACGCTGTCTTATTCTATATAATTTAGACATGTATATATTTCAGACATTCTTAAAATAAAGATCACATTTTGTAAAAATAAAACACACCTATTTTTTAAATTATTCGAGTTGATGAATTCTCTTGTCTTGTATTCTTATTTGAAGACGAGCAATGTGAAGGAGAAAGACAACACCCTCTATATATATGTAACATGAAAATTTTTTTTCGTCGACGATGACATGATATAGATGTATGTCAGACGAGAAAAAAAAATCATCAAATCAATTAAAACAGAAGTGAAATGATTGATAAAAAATCAATCAAAATTTTGAACATCGGTCAATTAATCTCAGGGTATATAAAAACATGAATACATCATTATGAAACAGTATACACTCGAGTTGTATTATTATAATGCATTACAATGTATTTATATACCCGGGATTATTATTTATTATTACTATTATATTATTTACAATGATAATTATATTATTAAATTCTATATGAGGTAAATAATAAATTCATTATATATTTAATAATACTTTTTTTTTTCTTTTTTTTTAGATGAGTTTTGATACTATACAATATTGAGAAGTAAGAAAAAAAAATTTTTTTACATATTCAATTGAGTTGAGTTGAGATAAGTTATTTTGAGAAAAAATAAATACTATCAGTTATTATGAGTATGAGTACTTTTGAGATGAGTTGAGTTATTAGTGTGGGTCAGAGAACTACGTTGTCTGATTCAATAGGGACAGGAACTTTCGTGCCATAGCGAAGCAGTGTAGTGCTAGGGAAGGCCTTTATGTGTCGTTAGTCCCTATCGTTCATACGGTATACCTTCGGCCATTGCCCTATCAGTCCGGCGTGGTCCGCCTGTGGTACCTATGGCATTGGCAAGGAATCTTTCCCTTGTCGCGCGTGCACAGGTAAGCCAAAATGAACCGAGAAAAATCGAAACGATTAGCAATGTGAATAAATTTATTGAGCAAGCGAAAAGAAAAAATTACAGTTACATTTTCTTTTTTACGTCCTGAAGGTTTTTTCTATACAATTGTAAGTGTGGATGATTTGAGGACAATGAAATTTGTGCGATATCAACAGCACGTTGATAAAACTGACTGGCCTTCGAGTATTCTCCCATGTTTTCATATATAAGACCAATATCATGCTTTGAAACAGCCAAATGAGGATGATTCGGAGGCAGAGCTTTTTCGGAGATTTGATGTGCTTTTTCGTAAAATTCAAGTGCTTTCGAGTAGTCACCCATGTTGTGATACACATGACCGATGTTGTTGTAGGAAGTAGCAAAATCGGGATGATTCGAAGGCAGAGCTTTTTCTCTTATTTTAAGTGATTTTTCGTAAAATTCAAGTGCTTTCGAGTAGTCACCCATTTTTCTATACACTTCACCGATGTTGTTGTAGGAAGTAGCCAAATCGGGATGATTCGGAGGCAGAGCTTTTTCGTAGATTTTATGTGATTTTTCGTAAAATTCAAGTGCTTTCGAGTAGTCACCCATGTTCTTATACACTACACCGATGTTGTTGTAGGAACTAGCCAAATTGGGATGATTCGAAGGCAGAGCTTTTTCTTTTATTTTATGTGATTTTTCGTAAAATTCAAGTGCTTTCGAGTAG